CAGACAAACTTGACTAGGAATGGAGCCCAGAAGACCGCCTCGAAGAAGAAGCGTCACCATCTATCCTAGTGCTGCCCTTACAAGGACTAAAATCCTAACCTATCTACTAGCCAGAGCCGACGCACAAGGATTCCCCTTTTCCATCCAACTTTTGCCCTTGCCACATCTAGCTAATTTTTTTTTGCAAGAAACTTCCAATCTATTCATCTTCAATCATGGCAGTACAAAGAACAACAAAGGTAATAAAAATTATAACCATGTTCGTGGACCACCTAGCGACGACTACAAGCACTGGAGCGAGCCGAAGGTGCGCCGCCGTCATCGCCCCTCCATCACCGGAGCCGGACAAACCTTCTTGTAGTAGACAGTCGGGAAGTCATCGTGTTAAGACCACATATGACCAGCGCACCAGAATAGCAACCATCGCCGATGAAGAAAGTCGTAGATCAGAAGGGTCAAACCTGTAAACACCCAAACAAAGACGAATGAAGATCGGATCCAAACAGATCCACCGAAGACTAGCACCGCCCGAATCCCGCGAGATCCGACGGAGACAAACCTCCACACGCCCTCAGACGATGCTAGACACACCATCGGGACGGGAATAGAACGTGGGAGACATTATTCCTACCAAGGGACGTCGCCGCCATCACACAACCCCAACCAAGACGTTGAATCTAACAAGAACAAGAAGGGGGTCCCTCCCGCCGGCAGGGGGCCGAGATACTCCACACCTCCAGCCTAGAGGCCATCGGAGATGGGGCGGATCGGCTGCGGCGCCGACGGGAGGAGAAGAACTTTTCTTGTAGAGGAGGAAAGAGATGGAATCTGCCTCATCTAGCTAATTGATGTAGTACACCCCTCAAACAAAAAATAATAATGTAGAACAGGTGGTTCTAGGAGGAGCGTGGATGGTCGCAGCCGGCACAGTGCTGATGGAGAACGATGGTTGCATGAAAATGCTGCTTCACAGGAGCGACGATGTCGGCTGTTGTTAACTTTGCTCTACGTGCACTTTAATTTCTTCCTACAAAATATGTTCTAGTGTAATAATGTTGAGGCCGTTGCTATTATTGAAAACCATTATTTTTTCATCAAAATTCCCTAAAAAGACAAAGAATTTAAACCCCCGTTGTCTTAGGACTTTGGGAATAACCATATATAGCTTGTTCAATTTCTCTCTTGTGGATGATTTGGATCAACTTATCTGTATGTATCCTATGTTGCAAGTTGTGTGTTCATTTGTACTAGTTTTCCTTGTGGTTCCTCCTGATTTTTCTCGTGTTCTTCGTGTTTCTCTCAAATCCACCTTCAATTCATGAAGACCGGACCACTCCAGTATCTTGCCCCGCATCATTGAGGTAATAAATTGAGAATGTTTCGCCAAAGTTTCACGTAGTCGGCTTATAAACCAGACCATTTCCGAGAAAGAAATTACATTTCAATAGCGTGTAGGGTGTATGCGGAGCACCTATTAGGCCGGGTGCAACACTCAACAATGCCTTTGCCAAGTTGAAATTGCCCTTCTCCGAGTACATGGGGTACTTGACAAATAAGTTTTCCAGTAGTGAGGTCACCACGCACTGGTCCAGATTGATCGCGAACTTAACCGACCATTGTGTGTCACATGCCATTCTAAAATCTCACAAAATTTCCTAACGTATATAGAAAATATATATCATATTTGTAGTATTAGTCATAAATATTTTCTCACTCAATGAACTAGCTAGTTTGGTGGAGCCCTTCCAAGTCAACCCGACCAATAGCATGCACAACGCCATGACTGCGTTCTAGGCAATATGGATCATACTAGAGGGTGACGATGCGCTTCGCCGCGCCGTTACTCGGTCGTGAGCTAAGTCTCCTATTTTACACGGGCTTTTTTTGTTATCGGTGAGCACTGTTACACAGAAAAATCAAAGAACCGAACCAAGTTTTCCGATATTCCTGGTTTATTTGGTTTATGGTGTCCTGATCGGTGTTTCCATCGCTAGTTGTTTAATGTTTTGGTGTATCATCAGTTTTCATCCTCTATAAACTGAATTGACCATTGGACAATACTCCCTCCATCCTTAAAAGAGTGTATTTTTAACTATGTTGGAAAGTCAAACTTTTTTATATTTAACGGTATTTATACAACATATTTATGCCCTCAAATTAGTAGCATCGGATTCATGATAAAATATACTTTCATCATATATCTATTTAGTTTCACAAATATTGATATATTTTTGTAGAAACTCGGTAAAATTTTAAGATAGTTTGACCCTCCAATAAAGTTAGAAGTACACTCTTTAAAGGACGGAGGGAGTATGCATCAAAATTGGCCTCCTTTTTCTCTAATTTCCTTACTTTGCTGGCCCAAGGCCCAGACACCACGCACACGCGCACACAACCCAATTTACTCATGCATCTGCCTCTCAAAAACACTCTACACTGTACTGTTATTCACCACCAAACGGACTCCAATTTCTCAATCTAGTTGCCTCCCAATCTTGGGTCAGATCTACTGATCCAACAGGTGCTCATGTTGGCTTGGATCTCCAACGCCTAATATTTCCTTTCTGGCTCTTCCCCACCGCTAGCACAATGTCGGTATTCCATTGCAAATCCACCACTTTAGACCGAATGGTGTAGACGAAGAGAGCTATGACTCGACCACATGATCCTATTCAACATGCAACTTGTTTTTTTAGGGCAGTCTAACTTGTCGAAAGAACACCAAATGTGCACCGTCCCAGGACATTCGCTTTGACTGGGTAGCTAGTCGGCTTTGTTGGGCATCGGGCCAACCAGAGGATCGAAGAAAAAAACAAAAAAAGGAGGAGAACTGTATAAAGTAAATGGATTGTTCTTGAAAAAATAAAATAAACTTTTGCAAATTTTGAAAAACAATATAAAAAAATGTTCATGAATTAATAAAAGTTTATGAATTCAAAATTTTATTAGCAAATTTTAAAAAGTTAAAAAATATTTGCGAAGTTTTTTAGAATTTCCCTAAATTTTAAAATTTTCACCGGCTTCAAAAGAAGTTCCCTTGATTTCAAAAATGTTAACGAATTTGAAAAATGTTCTCAGATTTAAAAAAATGTTTTCACATCTGTAGGGATTCTTTCCGTGCATGCGTGTGGCCCAAATGAGCAAGCACTCAATTTTCTTTCGTCCGTACCAAGAAGTCAACAACATGTATCACGAGAGATTGATCTTGTAGTCAGAACAACCTGTCCTGAATCAAATTAACTACGCTTCTCTTCATAATACATGAGGTGCAGATCGAGATCGATGCTGATGGTGCCCCAGACGGTCGCCGGCGCCAGCAGGCGAGTTCCTCAGTGTCGACCTCGCCGGTTATTGGGGTCAGTGACTGCCAGGGTGTGGCTCTAAATAAAATATAGACTCTAGACCACAACAGAAAAGAGAACACACATATATAAATTTGCCCAACAAGCGGGTAGCCGATGTACATTTCATACGATCTGGTCAAGTAAGAAACAGTTAAGAGGAAAACAACATGCGCAATAGCTACTAGTATAAGCTCTGGAGTCCGGGAACAACTAAACCACAGAGATGCCATGAATGGTTATTGATTTATATGGACCTTGACATTATGAGCGGTGGCCATCGCCATCACCCTCGCCTTCGCGTTGATCACCTCTATGACATGAGTCCACTTTCTCCTTCGCCTCTATGATCTTCTTCCTCAACTAATCCACCTCCTCGCTTGTCCATAGACGGTAACTCGGAGGAGAAACCTTGAGATGAGGAAACTTTCACCGCGGACATTGCACACCTTCTTGTCATGCAGAAATGCCTCCTTGATGTTCACGGTTCACCGCAACTTGAATGACAAGCTTGACGTATCCCATGAAGTTGTCGTTGGGCTGGAAGCCGTAGATAGTTAGTCTGGCCAGATTCTTATGCTTGAAATCAAGAGTAGATGGCTCCCACTTCACATCCATTTTATTGGTGTATTATTTTTGCGACTTCCTTTGGCACTTATGATCGCATACCGTAATGCAAAGCTCTTCTAGAGATGTTGCAGCCTCAAGAAGGAACATTGTCCAAGCAATATCACATTCTTCAGGAAGATTATCCAAATTCATAAACCGTAGTTTGGCAAGCACACGAGTAAGCACTTTCGGGCATTCCCGTTGAACCCAAATCTGGGAGAGATAAAAAAATTAATAATGAATCCAAGTTGTTCACAAATTACATCTCAAGTGACACATAAGTTAGTACAGTTGCATATCACAACCATACAATGAGAATTGAATAGAGATGATTTGGGTGGGTACCTTTTCACTCCAATATTCCTGGTACAATCGCTTATGGAGGGAACATTGTAGGTCATCTGTTGGAGCTTTGGTAGATGGTGAAGCTCCATTGTTTTGAATTCCCCATAGGAGATAACAAGCTCAAGGAGTCGAGTGTGTTCTACATGCAATGTTGAATGGATCCCCACGTCGCACTCAAAGAAACACAATGACTCGAGCCGCTTGCAGGTGCTTAGAATGTTCTGTATGTCCAGTTCACCAAACCTCAGATTTTGCAGTTGCGGTCTTCTGAGGCCATCAAAAGCATTTGCACAATGACGAAGAAAATTATCGAACTGCTTAACAAAGACCAGGGGATACACCTCGGTGCAATGATAGGTATCCCTTGGCATCAAGATCTCAAACTCGGTTGCATCTAGTTTCTGGGTCACCATGGCGAGGCCGGCTGATATATCAATGGAGTGACAACGAGAGGGACCCAAGAAAACTTGAGCTTTAGCTTGCGAATGGTAATCTGCGGAAATCACGTGCTCAAGACCTTGTCTATCACATCGGCCATGACGCAATTGATTCGAAAGAAATAGTGGGGGATAATATCGTGGAGAATCAGCGAGCCGAGGCAGTTTATGCATTTGCCTCGAGAGGATGCAGGTTCTTACACGATCAAGCGTACCCACCCTCTCGACAATGTTGCCATTGGGCAGCTTGCTTAGTATGTGTTCGTTGTCAGATGCTGTTGTCAGATGCTTTCTTTAACTGCAATTCTCCAGGAGGGAAATTAGTCATGGGTGATAGATCATATATTGAGTTAGATCAAAAGAAAAATAGCAATACAAAACAGGAGACTTACATCATGGCCGACCTTATGAGTGGAAGCCACCGCCATCGCCCTCCCCTTGATCACCTCTGCGATCTCCAGTCTGAATGAATCCACCTCCTCGCTGGTCTGTGGACAACTCCAAGGACGAACCCCGAGATGAGGAAACTTGTCAACGCAGTGCTTGCACACCTTCCTGTCGTATAGAGATACCTCCTTGATGTTCTCCACAGCTTCAGTGACGCGGCTGACGTATCCCATGAAGTTGTCGTTGGGTTGGAAGCCAAAGATAGTTAGTCTGGAAAGATTATTGTGCTTGAAACCGGGATTAGATGGCTCCCAGTTCACATCGGTTTTCTGGGAGTAACTTTTTTGCGACTCCAATTGGCATTTATGATCCCATACTGTGATGCAAAGCTCCTCTAAGGATGGCGCAGCTTCAAGAAGGAACATTGTCCAAGCGATGTCACATTCCTCAGGAAGATTGTTAAGATTCACGCGCCGTAGTTTGCCGAGCACAGGTGCAAGCACTTTAGGGCATTCTGGTAGAACCCAAACCTGGGAGAGATAATACAACACTTGTAAATTACATCAAGTGATGCATAAGTTACTACCGTAGACATATAACAATCAGACAACGTATATTTCATGTGCATGTATATAATGGACCTAGCCACACAAAAAATATGTTGGATCAGAAGTGAACTTATATCCGGCTCACGTACACTTGGACTCATGCTTTCAGTGGATTATCCACTTTGTGATAATAAATGCTTCTAATTAAGGTAATTTACCATCATATATAGAGAGAGACAAAACGAGACAAAGATGATTACCTTTTCACTTTGAAAATCGAGGTGCAGGTCACTTATTGAGGGGACATTAACAAGCAGCTGGCTCAGCTTGAGGGTCCTGTTTATAATGAACGCATGCGCCAGAGTTAGCTTGGAGAGCTGAGGGGCATAGCCCAAAATCAAGGGATTGTCTAGGTTATCAAATATCCATCTATGCAAGGTCATCCGTCGAAGCTCCGGCAGGCAGCCGAGCTCCACTGTTGAGAACTTTGCATAGGCGAAGATAAGCTCAACGAGTCTGGCATGCTCTACGTGCAGCACCGGAAGTTTCCGCGCGTCACAATGGAGCAAACGCAACGACTCCAGCCGCTTGCAGGTGGCTAGGATGTTGGGTATGTCCGATTCACCGAACCTCAGGTTCTGCAGATGCAGCCGCGTGAGACCGGCAAACGCGTCGGCGCACTCGCCGATAAAGTTGTTGAACAGCTTCGCGGAGTCGAGAAGATCGGCATCGGAGCGCCTATAATAGATGTCCTTGGTCAGGATATCGAACTCGGCCGCGTCGATCTTCTGCGTGGCCATGGCGAGGGCGACGGCCCTGCCGATCTTGAGATGGTCGTCGCCTCTCATGATGAACCTGAGCTTGAGGTTGCGGATGGGGATCTGTGGAGACCTCGTGCTGAGGATCTTGTCGGTCATGTCGGCCACGCCGCGGTTCTTGCGCTGTAGATCAAGGTCGCCGAGATCGATGACGATCTGCGAGAGCAAGGCCGGCAGGTTGAGCGTTTGCCTGGAGACGACGCAGGTCCTGACGGCGTCGAGCGTGCCGAGCCTCTCCAGGATGTTGAGCAGCACATCGTCGGGCAGTTTGATTAGCCTGTCGACTTTCAACAGCTGGATAGACATATAGATTGATAAATTCAACGATGACTCACGCACAAGAATTGGAGAAGGAGGAACACAAGCAAGCATGACTCACGCACAAGAATTGGAGAAGGAGGAACACAAGCAAGCAACGGGGGCTGGGCTTACATCACGGCTGCGGCGGCGAACCCGGTTGAGCTTCATGGCGGTCTGATCTCAAGGAACAATGAAGTGGCAGATGGCGGCTAGGCTTACATCGCGGCGGCGGAAATCGCCTGTATGCTCCTTCCTAGGTGCGATGATCAAGATTGCAGACGTTTATATGGCAGCCTCCTCTGGCTTGAACAAGGAGGTTTCCAGATCCTATATATTCCACCTAGGTAAAGACAGCCTGGTTTTTTTAGCATTGTTTCACAAGACGCAAACATATACAAACAGGGGTTAATTATCTTTTTGCTCTCAGTGGTGTCCATCTACTCAGTTTTATCCTCAGATGCGAATTGTGTTCAGTTTTGCCCCTAGTCCGTGCGCACCGACTCGTTCCGTGAACTCTGTCGTCTCCGTCAAGTCAACCTTTTGACTCGGCCCTTACAGGTGGGACCAGGCGGCAGAGACGGCCAATTTTATTCAGACCGTTGCACGCGTGGCTTGTGGGATCCAGCAGAGAGCCGTTGAGCAGAGAGCCGTTGCGGGTGTGCTATATAAGCGGGCAACAGCGGCGGTGACCACGGCGACAGAGAGCACGACGGTGACCACGGCGAGAGAGAGAGAGCACGGCGGTGGGAAGCTAGCTGTGGAGGGCGCGGCGGTGGGAAGCTAGCTGTGGAGGGCGCGGCGGTGGGAAGCTAGCTGTGGAGGGCGCGGCGGCGTTGAGATCCCCTTCGGCTCCGAGCTCCATGTCTTCCTCAAGCTCCTGCGCCACCTCACGGATGCAGAGCCGGGCGCGTGTGGACATGCCTGTCTTCGTCTGTCCGCGGTGCCGGGCGGGCGTTGATCGGAGGGTTTCTCATACACCGAGGAACCAGAATCGTCCGTTCTACATGTGCAGCGAGAATGGGGTAAGAATCGGGGCAATTGCACCATTTTCGTGGTCGGGATCTTTGAGCAATGGGTTGATCTGTTTGGTGTTCATGCAGGTGACATGCTTCTTTCTTTGGGTCGATGCTCTGGCCAAGATTCTGATGAATGAACTGCAAGAAGAGCATGAAGAATGGTTGCGCATGCTGCCACGAACCGCAGTGGCCGCAGCACGAGCTTCGGAAGAAGAGATGGAGGTCGAAGCACTGACAGAGAGCTAGTTGTTGAGCTTAGGATGTTGAAAAAGAAGGTTAGGAAGCTTGAAGATCAAGCACTACCAATACCCATTTGCAAATACTTTTGGGCATTTGTAGGTATGGTAATCGCACTGGTTGTAATGTTGAAAATGTATGGAAAGGCATGAATTATGGAGGAATTTGTAATCTTGAAATTGTATGAGAAATTCACCTAGTTTAAATGTTGGCCAAAGTTGTTTAAATGTTGAAAAAAAAAAGTGACCAACATTTAAATATGTTGAAAAAAGAGAAGAAATGAGGAATTCAGAAACTTTTGATTAATGAAATGCAGCTCTCTGCTCTGCCTTTCTGTAAAATAAAAGGTTGCTCTTGGGCCAAATTCGGAGCGTAGAGCTAAGTGCGGGCTAGACTAATGGGCCAACTGCATCCAATTAGGCCCATTCGGGGGTTCTCTTGCGTGTCTTTCTATTTTCTGTTCTGATTTAATTTAGGCAGTAAATCATAATGCTGAAACTTTTTGTGGAACCTAATTGAATTATTCCAGAGCCAAAAAATTAAGGTTAGAAATTTTTTGGAGCTGTTAAATATTTAATAGCAATTTATTTAATCCAATTCAAATACACCATGATTTAAATTAAAGGCCAAAATGTCATGGAAAATGTGCCTCAGCTTTGGTAGAGGTTTACACCTGGTGCCAAAATAAATGAACATTTTTTAAGGGCATTACATTGAGAAAAAATAATTTGTCTAAAAAATGAAGGGTGGAAAATGCACAAAAAATTGGTGCGGCTGGGGACTCAAACCCAGGACCGCGTCGGTTTGTGGTGTTTATGGCTGCGCTGGTAACCGCTAGGACAGATGGCAAGACTTTGACATGGGTATGGAAGGAAGGTATACATAGTGAGACTGTGAAATTTGTCAAAAAAATAGTGAGACCGTGAATGTTTGCACACGCGTGAGAGTGGTTTTTCTTTGTTTTGCACTGAAATTTTGGAGAGTTGGAAGGTTGAAAACGTATTTTTACACTGCCACATGATTTTGGTTAGAGTGACACTTGGTTTAGGGTTAGAGTGGCACTTGGTTTAGGATTTAAAGGAAATAAATTTGCATGTTAGTTCATGACTTTATTTTTTTGAATGAAACAGAGGGCTTCTCACCCTCTCCGATTTTCATTAATGAAAACCACAAGTTCTCGAACTTCATGACTTGGTTTAGGAAAGAAATGATATGTTTGGGCACGGACATTTTTTAACACACATAATAAACCCTAATAACTTAGATAAGATTCAACACACCGTGCCATTACAATAATAAGTTCACGGACACATGACGAAACATGACACGACACGACACGACACGACATAGAAAAGCAGCAAAATAAAAAACGAAACATGACGATCTTGACTCTGGGCTTGAACATCTTCATCTTGACCTCCTTCTTCCACCTTGGCCGCGCGCGCCCCTTCAACACCGTCTTCATCTTCACACCTCCTCCTCCTCGTCGTAGGAAAGGGAGTGCATCTGGCCTGGAGTGGGGAAGATGCTCTCGTAGTTGGTGTAGATGTTGTAGACGGTGAAGAAGATGGCCTCGCAGCTGCACCAAAAGACTTGGCCGAGGAGCTCGCGCGCGTCAAACAGGTTGGTGAAGGTGACCGTGAGCAGTAGGAGGATGTCGCCGCGGTCACGAACCTCGTTGAGGGTGAACATCCTCGGCGAGCCCCGTGGGAGGTGGGCATAGCCGGCTCTGAGGAAGGCGCGGGTGAGATCGACGGAACCCCTCCACCTTGAAATAGCCCACACACGGAGCTCCCTCTCCACGAGCACGCCCGGTGGGTAGCGCAGCTCCGGCATGATAGGCGGACGGTTGAAGGTCGGCTCGTTGAACTGCATCTTCACTTGGTCTCGCTTGGGGAGGGCTCGGTCGCTTGGGTGTTTGAAGTTGGAGAGAATGGATCGGATCTGGCTTGTGGGTGGGAGAGCAAGAGAGGCACCCCATTTATAGGCCTGTGGGTGGGAGAGGAAGAGAGAAAGGATGAGAACGGTGTGTGTGTGTGTAAATCCGAGCGTGTGTGTATCCATTACGTTTTGCACTCTTAAATTTTTACACGAAAACGATGCATGGGGCGCGTGCGTGCATCTGAATCACTGCATAGCTCTTTGACCGGGCGGTGCGTCTGACTCACTGCCCTGAACCACCTAGCTCGCCTCGCTAGCCTAGCTTGCCTAGCGCGCCTCGTTCGCATGCATGCACGTCGCCGCCTCCCGCGCATGCAAACCCACGTCGCCGCATCCCATGCATGCAAGGCCTAGAAAGGCCGAGACGGGCTATTTACTGCGGTCTCAGGCCCAGACAACGAGACGGCCCAACGGTCCATCCAGCGCGTCCGGTATTTGTTTAAAAAACAATCTCCCAGCCAATCAGATTGCGTTTCGCGGATCGCCCCCCTCCTCCCCGCAGATTCCTTCTAGAAGGGTTAGATCGACGGCCCTTGATCGCCACTAGGGTTAGATGAATGGTCCTTGTTCAACGCTAGGGTTAGCGGGGTTTGGGAGGGGTTTGGAGCAGTCAAAGCTATGTTTGACCAGATTTCAAATGAGCATAATAAATTAAATAAAAATCAGAAAAATAAAAAACCTGCGCACATAGTCTTCTTATATCATATACTAACGATTTAAGTTGATAAACAAGGTTTACATACATTTAAACGATAAGTTCATGTGTATTGTGTGATATCTTGAGTATCTCAAGCTCTCTTGCATGAAGTGAAGAGAAGTGTTTTGGGGAAATGAACATGACAATTTAAAAAAACTCACCAAAACTTCATTTTAGAGTGACTAAGAAGCTAGCCATGAAGACCTTCCCGTACAAAAACACATGCTTTTTGTGGAAGCTAATTGAATTATTCCAGAGCCAAACAATTAAGGTTAGAAATTTTTTGGAGCTGTTAAATATTTAATAGCAATTTATTTAATCCAATTCAAATACACCATGATTTAAATTAAAGACCAAAATGTCATGGAAAATGTGCCTCAGCTTTATACCTGGTGCCAAAATAAATGAACATTTTTTAAGGGCATTACATTTAGAAAAAATAATTTGTCTAAAAAAATGAAGGGTGTAAAATGCACAAAAAAATGGTGTGGATGGGGACTCGAACCTAGGACCGTGCGGGTTTGTGGTGTTTATGGCTGTGCTGGTAACCACTAGGACAGATGGCAAGACTTTGACATGGGTAGGGAAGGAAGGTATACATAGTGAGACTGTGAAATTTGTCAAAAAAAATAGTGAGATCGTGAATGTTTGCACACGCGTGAGAGTGGTTTTTTTTTGTTTTGCACTGAATTTTTGAAGGGTTGGAAGGTTGAAAACGTATGTTTACACTGCCACATGATTTTGGTTAGAGTGGCACTTGGTTTAGGGTTAGAGTGGCACTTGGTTTAGGATTTAAAGGAAATAAATTTGCATGTTAGTTCATGACTTTATTTTTTTGAATGAAACAGAGGGCTTCTCACCCCCTCTGATTTTCATTAATGAAAACCACAAGTTCTCGAACTTCATGACTTGGTTTAGGGAAGAAATGATATGTTTGGGCACGGACATTTTTTAACACACATAATAAACCCTAATAACTTAGATAAGATTCAACACACCGTGCCATTACAATAATAAGTTCACGGACACATGACGAAACATGACACGACACGACACGACACAACATAGAAAAGCAGCAAAATAAAAAACGAAACATGACGATCTTGACTCCGGGCTTGAACATCTTCATCTTGACCTCCTTCTTCCACCTTGGCCGCGCGCGCCCCTTCAACACCGTCTTCATCTTCACACCTCCTCCTCCTCGTCGTAGGAAAGGGAGTGCATCTGGCCTGGAGTGGGGAAGATGCTCTCGTAGTTGGTGTAGATGTTGTAGACGG